GACAACCTTCATTTCAAGGAGGAAGTGATCTCACCTCTGCTGTAAATAAGAGTTAATATGCATACACAAGACTACAACAAGCCACTTGTAGGCATCTCCCGGCGGTTAACACAGTAAGTATGTGTGTGTATGGTAGAGGGTGGGGGGAGGTCATGGAAATATGAGGCATCATTAAGTTGTCACACATAGAGTAAAGGTTGAGAGTGTCTCTGTGTGGCCGGGGCTGGAGTCGGGCGCCAACTTCCCCGATGTGTCACTGCAACAACACACACTTGGGCTCAGGTTCACACTCAGAGCCTAAGGGCTTCTTTATTCAAAAAAAATGGGAACGAATATTAAAGCTTTGTTTAAAAGCCAAAATGTTGCGTTGAAGTGTATTGTATAATTGGGGTTTGTTTTTCGATTTTAATCAGCATAAAGAATATTGCACTAAAGAGAAACTTTTGTGTTTTAGAAACTATTTTCTTTATTTTGTGCTTTGGAAAATTGGCTTCATTTTCTTTTCCAGGGTATTTAGATGATCTCTCTACTATTCGCCCCACACTCAGCAGTAAGTCACCAAAGCAACTCAGCATTAGCACAACCCATGACGTTGGTACAACATGGCTTGGTCAGTGCTCAGGCACTTCTGTGGTTATTTAGTCAGAGTCAGCCTTTTTATCCTTCCCTTTGCCCTACCTGACTCGACGCTCTAGGTTTCCTTCACAGAGTGGCGAGTTAGCAGTGAAGGAGCCTGATGTAAGCACTATTTGATACACTGAGGTTTCCCCCCATTGAAAGTAAATGGGAATTCCTTCACTCGCAAGATACTGTGCAAAACAGCCACTGTGGAACAAAAAAAAAAGAGAAAAGACAATTCTGTGTCCGAGAACAATTGGCTCATTGTAACGAGTTCAAGGTAATGACAGAGAAACCAGAGACTGATGTAAACAAAGATTATATCACTCCACCAACAGAAACATACGCCCAAGAGACGGCACGAGACGCCTTCCAGTTAAAACTACAGTCATTTCAAAGCAATAACGCTGACAGCAACAGCCTATCTTTGTTTAGCCCATGCACTGAAGCGGCACGCCAGCGAATGAATAAGTATTATGCCCATGCCAGCTCGCTTATGTGGTTACTTTAGCTGATATGCTGCCATGTTTTACACCCTAATAAATCCTAATTGGGTTCCAATTCAGAGAAACATATAAAGAACCTCACACATATCTTTGCTCCAGGTGTAAAATCAAATGTGTTACTTTCACTAGAGCTTTGTGACCACAAGCCTCACCACACAGCCACTCACCACATACCTCTGCCTACTGGCAAGAGGAGCTCCTAACCACTGAACACATGTAATTTACGGCAATGCACTTTACCTTACATTACATTTATACAGCTAACCCTAAATATGCACACTCACCTTCCCGATCTCTCACAGACCAAGACAGATGGCAAGGTAAAACTACAACAGGTAACGAGTGATCAGAGATTCACTCTCTCGGGTGCAGCCATGAACATCTGGCACAAAGCAGTGAAGAGCACTGGTGTGTGTACTGGTGTGTGTGTGTGTGTGTGTGTGTGTGTGTGTGTGTGTGTGTGTGTG